GCCTGCTTCTTGGGAGGAAAGTGATGACAAACCTAGACAGCATCTTTAAAAGCAGAGACATCACCTTGCCAACAAAGGTCTGCATAGTCAAAGCTATGGTTTTTCCAGTAGTAATGTATGGAAGTGAGAGCTGGACCAGAAAGAAGGCTGACCACATACAAATTGATGCTTTTGAATTGTGGTGCTGGAGGAGACTCTTGAGAATCCCCTGGACTGCAAGGAGAACAAACCTATCCATTTTGAAGGAAATCAACCCTGAGTGCTCACTGGAAGGGCAGATCCTGAAGCTGAGGCTCCAATACTTTGGCCATCTCATGAGAAGAGAAGACTCCCTGGTAACGACCCTGATGTTGGGAAAGAGGAGAAGGGGACGGCAGAGGATGAGATGGTTGGACAGTATCACCAAAGCTACAACATGAATTTGACCCAACTCCGGGAGGCAGAGGAAGGAGGGCCTGATGTGCTCTGGTCCATGGGGTCACAAAGAGTCGGACATGACTAAATGACTAAACAACAACAAAAATTACAGTAACCCAGAGTTACTCAATGAATTCATAGCTGAGCAGGTCGTCCTAGCTTAGATTCCACTATGCCTCACAAGTATACATTGCAAGTGTGTCAGCTGTTTGTGGTTCATCTAAATTACCACTATTCGCATACACTGCATACAGAGAAACCGCATACAGAGAAACTCAGGTCATGCATTTTCTGTAGGAGTACAGATGGTGAAAATCAATCTATTCTGTAAACTCTCCTTGCACATTATGGAGAAATGAACACGATTGTGGCGAAATAATGGTCTCGGAAAACATTTCACTTCAGAAGAGATTATGTGACAGAAGATATTAACATGGAAATATTATGGAACTAGAAACAGTGAGAACAGAATGTATTATTCAGACAAATTGACTTGAAAAAGGTCACAGCAGGAAGCCTTCCCAACCCCTACTCTCCCTCTGCAGCGGACACCATCTGAAAATCCTCCCTCAGTCAAGAGGCAGAGACATCCTTCTGGGATTTGACATAAGGGTCTGTTGTGGGAGGAAGGAATGGCCTCCACCAGCAAATCTCCTGATTTGGCTGGGGAGCTCAGAACTGCAGGTTACCTGATTCAGAGTGATTTCCTTTGTTCTTCATATGCTCCACTGTTCATCTACACAAGTGGATGCAGGCAAAATTTATCCTTCTGAAATCCTATTTAAGTTAATATATGTAATTACTTAAACCAATAGTTCCCAATACTGTTAAAAAGCTTTGTAAGTGATGCTATGATTCTGGCTGTTCCACTGCTTTGGGTGTAGGGTATGCAGGTACATTGGTTTGTCAAGCCTTGAAGGTGGCATTGCTGGACGATGCTTGAATGAGGTTTGCAAATGAGAGGCTACATCTTCATCACTCTGAATTCTTCAGTCAAAAATTCAAAGGGATACATAATACAGTAATGCCGAGATAATACAGCTGTCCAAAATATGGTGCCTTAGGAGCTGCACTCAATTCCACATCCGAGGTAGTGCTTTCAATATATTCCATCTCTCTCTCAGAGTAAAGTACTGTTTCTGACTTCCCTCCAAATATGAGGCTAAATTCTGAAAGGAAGGAAGGCGCCATGTCTGCAATGGAATGGCTGCCTCTGAACAGCCTGCTTAGGCATGAACTTTACCTGTGTCCATGGGCAGCAGCATGGCTAAAACAGTTCATATCCTCATGAAGTGAAGAGGACATCCCGTTAGCGTCCAACATACTCAGGAGAGGATCCGCTCCCCGGCTCAGCAGCAAGCTGACCAATTCATAGTTGCCTAGAAAGTCAAACAAAGTCAAACTCTATTGGCTTTCTTCAGAGAGCGGATATAGTTGAATATGTGATGATTTATTCAACCATTCATCATGATACAAGTGAGTATGTGTTAAGAGTTTATGAACAATGCTATACAACAGAAGTAAAGCAGTGAAGGATGAATCTTAAAGAAGAGGTTCTTTAAGAATCTTCTTGGCATTGTGAGCTCGAAACCATATTTGTACAGAGGACACAGAGATGGTCTACGTTTACTGCACATTCAGGTGAATTTGCAAGTCAGGAATTAAACGTGGATGTCTGCTTTTTTCACAGCTGAACTCTGTGATTATTTCCCCGCAGAAAGGGGAGAAATCATGGAGACTGAGTGTATATGTGTATAGTTTGTACATACAGAGCAAAGGGATATATAATGTAATTGCAAGTGTTCACCATGTATATAGGATATTCTGTCAGTAATTATGTGAAAACAAATATTAGTTTAAATATATATATTTGTTTTTAAATGCATATATACACACACACACACACACAGAGAGTATATATACAGACACTATACACACACACACACACACAGAGAGAGAATATATATATACACACACACTATACACACACACACACATATATATAAATACACACACACATACACACATACACACATACACAGACAGACAGACAGATATAGTGTGTGTGTGTGTGTGTGTGTGTGTGTGTGTGTGTGTGTGTGTGTGTGTGTGTGTGTGTGTGTGTGTGTGTGTGTGTGTGTGTGTGTGTGTATGCATTTAAAAACAAATCCGCTTGGCAGCATTGAAGATATTGTTTCTTTCCACTCTATGTGCCAGATGTTACTCTGAAAGCAGACTGCACTATTAAGGAATATTGCAGGCAACCATTTTTAATCTAGTCCATCTCTAAACTTCTACTTGCTGTTTCTGGAGAGTGAAAATGAAATGCCTGTTCAGACTTGCCTGCTGCTGAAGCCAGCTGAAGTGGGGTCTCCGCATAGTTGTCTTCTCCACTGTTAACAGCAGAACCTTCAACGTGGGCTCCAGCATCCAGGAGCAGCTGGGAAAAAAAAACAGTAAGAACGAAGAGCTCAAAGCAGAGCAAAGGAGAAGAGTAAAAAGTGAAGAACTGTCTTAGAGGAAGGGAAGAGCACTTAATTCACTGCATCCACTCTTTCCTTATCTGAAGTTGTTGAGGATCATACAGTGGTTGGTTCCTTCTATTTAACTTTTATGTTTTTGTTCACTTGGTATAAAGATATCTTCCCCAGCTGTTTTTTGAAAGCATAGATGAACTTTCTAAAAATACAGGTATTTCTTAAGATGTGTGAAAATATATTATGAGAAAGACAACACACTTGCCTCATGTAAGGAGAATATTTCGGATACACAAATAGACTTGTAAATGTCTGCTTTTTGTCCATTGTACTTCATTACAGTTATCGGAAACACCCGCTTCCCTGAAACGAACTCTCCCTCTCAAATCTATTCTCAAAATCCAACTGTCCAAGCTCAGTAATTAGCCTCTAAAGTTCTTCATTAACCACTCAATTTTCATCTTCACTTGTAGCCAAGACAATGTGTTCCATTTAACATGCGTCCTATATTATCCTATCTCTCCTTCCCCATCTTCCGTATCCTACCCAGGGAATCCCACTGTTGATTTTAGATGGAAAGATAATTGGGATGGATTTTTTTTTCTTTTCATTTGCTTTGCTTATGAAACTCTGTAAAGCACCCGTATTTTGCTAATACCACAGTATAAGCACCATGTACCACTGTATAAATAAAAAAAACCTAAAACAAATTATGTAAGATAGACTGATCCTCTCTGGAACATACTTCAAAAACTTAAAGATATGTCTACAGACAACAATTCTGTGGCCATCTGGCCCTCCAAATGCCATGTCAACACCCGGAAACCTCAGGTAGTGTAGCCAAGGGCAAAGAATTGTAGGAGAAGCAAGAGTTGTTGCCCAAAATATCTGGAGAGACAAAGTTTCCTCATCACTACTGTATACCTGTCTGTTACAGCTGGCCATGTCGCTGACATTCCCCTTGTGCCACTGAAACAGTACAGTACAAAAAGTGGGGAACCTGACTATGGTCATTGAAAATTCATATTTGCATTCTTCCTTCAAGATGTTCAACACACGGCATGACCTGATTATGTGTGTTTCAGGAATTGCCTGCAACTTCTTCTTTTTTTTCAATATCATACCAATCATGCAATAATTCCCATAAGTAACTGGAGATACCTTAAGATTTCAGCTTTCCAGATTAAATGTTTACAACCAAACAATCAGGAGTGAGTAAACATTAATTATACTTAGCATAAGCATGGCTGACAGGGCCTGAACCTTAATTCTTTAGAAGGCATTATGTTGACAGAATTCTCAGTGGTGTCTCTGGGGCAAAAAACACTTATTATCTCAAGTGTAAATTAAGCATGCCTAACCTCTGCAATTCTATAGAGTGCACTGGCAACGCTCCAAGTCTTTGAAGGCAAAATCCTATTTGCATGGACATTTGCATATATGTATAATTCAAAACAGAATGCACAAATCCACAATTGCTTGTTACTTATCTGAACAGTAAGAACTTATTCTTTTCACCCCAGCTGATCTCTAGCTGTTGTTCATTTTTAATTCCTACTGATATTTCAGGGAAAAGACCAAAGCAGTTCAAGAGTCTGGAACGAATCAATGGACTCTAATTCTGGGTAACCTTTGACCGCAACAAAGATAATCAAATATGAACAAGAAGAGGACTTGCCCAAGAGGACACCTAATGTGTTTCAGAAGGTCAGGAGTGACAGTTTGTGCTTCTTCTGATGGGAGATTAAAAATCACAGGCACGTATAGGAACATGAAAGCTTCAGCTATACAACTTAACAAATATATGAACAGATTTCACTAAGCAGCAAATCTAAAGCTTATTTTACAAACTTGAGTTTGTAAAATGTGCCAGTTTATAGTTACCAAATCTACACCTTCTCACCAAATAATCATTTTCATATTTCCCCATTATCTTAAGAAAAGGTGCGAGGATAAAGCAATATAGCAAAGGTGATAAATATAATAAATAGAAGGTGAGGTTACAACCTTATAACCACCTACATCTAAATTGACACACTTGGGATTACAATGAAAACACACTATTTGTAACACAGGAAAGAGAAAGCTAACTTTTAAACTTCTCTTTAACAAATAAAGGTAATTTCTGAAGCAACTGGACTGGTATACGCAGTGGGATGTTAGGGACTTTCAAATGTATGCATGGTCTCACCGACTCCTGTTTAACGATTGCTTTATTCCCACATCCAGATGTAATTAACAATATCAACAAGCTTCATATTTCCAGACACCTCTAAAGACCTATGCCAATGAATCACATTATCCATATTAAAATAATCCTGTAGTGGAATCCTATCCTCAGACTGAGCAGTCATCCATGTGATTTCTCCCTGGAAACTTTACGAACATTCAGGTATACAGAATGACTTTGAAGGAATAAAACATATATGAAGAAATCTTGACTTGTGCTTAGTATCTCCACAAAATGAACAATTCGAGGTTCTTAACTCGAAGCAGCTAAACTGGTACAACATTTCTATATATTTCAGATGTGTTATTTGATGTCGAATCCAAAAGCAACAGTTTCAGAGTCTGCTCATTTTTGTCAGTGAATTTTGTTTCCGCCATCACACAATTTCAAGCTGCATATTGAAAGATTTATGGCTTTGTCGTTTGCTCACCTGAACTACAGAGATATGTCCATGTAATACGGCAAAGGTGAGCGCTGTCCAATACCTGCTATCAGGATGAACCGATAGGTATCGGGATGAACCACTCGGGACCTGAGGAAAATGGAATGAATGTTTACCCACTGCAATTTGAGTTCTTCTTATTCTTTTAACAGTACAGTACTTAGATATATCTGAGAGTGGCACAGTCCTGGCAAATTGTAACCCCTGGGAGTTGCAGGTTGACACGATTCAGAAAGTACTGCCAACACCAATCAGTGTATTTGGTCCCTTGGGTTTCTCTAATGCATCTACTGGTTTCCTTTGGAGGCTGTTCTTGCATTTCCTCCTCTCAGTCTCCTTATGTCCATGCCAGTGTTAATCATTATCTCATCGGTCACAAGCATTGAAGGTGATTTAAGCTTAATTGCTCTTAAACTCAAAGAAAATAAATACGATTATCAGCAAATGTGATACACAAAAACCAACCATCCCTCTGTTTCTGTGTAATACTAAATCATGGTTTTTGTTAGTTTAACCATGTCTCTGGGTTGGCATCTTTACTTACAGGTATATCTAGATTTGCTCCAGCATCAATCAGCATCTGGACCATGGCTTCATCTCCAGCAGAACAGGCATACATGAGTGGAGTCATACCCTTTAAGAACAAAACATCTGGTCAGTTAATTTCTATTTTTCTGTGCAATACACTGAGCAGTTTTTTTCACATGCTTTTAAAATGTATTTGCACGGTCCTTCTACAAACCAGCAAAGTCCAGTCAAAATACTTTACTTTGAGAGTGGAAATTTAAGGAAGTATCTAAGTCTGAAATCTTGTATGCATTCACCCAGGAGTAAATCTCAAGAACTCTTTTTCACAAGATTTTTTTAAAAAAAATATTTACATTTTTTAATTCATTTAAACTGATTTAGAATTAATGGTCTTTTAATAATAATCATGTGCCATCAAGGCAATTCTGACTTACGGCAACCCTTTTCAAAAATTACCAAATGGTTTACTCAGAGTCTGTATTCGAACTGTTATTTCCGTGGCAGTGCAACATGACAAAATACAGTGGCCCCTTCTTGTTCTCCAGTTTGCACAAAGTGTGGAGACTATTAATAATAATGATGTGCCATAAGGTCAATTTTGGTTTATGGCAACCCTTTTCCAGAATTTTCCAGGTAGATAATACTCAGAAATGGTTTACCATGCCTTTCTTCAGGGGGCGCCCTGGGACTGTGCAGCTTGCCCATGACTATGGAGGCTGGCTCTACTCCTGGAAGGCACAGTACAGAACAGAATTCCTAATTTCTGGTTCTGCAGCCAGATACTTAAAGCATAGCCATCTCTTTCAATATTACTATATATTTAATTTCATTTTAACATTATAACGTAGGTCTGTGTTCCTTAAGCGCATTGTTTTGTAAGCCAACTTGGCCCCCTAGATTGGAATAAAAAGGATATAAATGAAATAAATAGAAAAGTGAATAGATACGAAAAGCAACCAAAATAATATGAAAAAGAAAAAGACAGACAGACAAGCGATCCTTATACGCAATTTGAAAACAAGGGTGGGTGATAACACTGAAATTTTATAAACAGGTGCTAGCTTCTGATTCTTCATCAGTTTGGGCATTGTAAATCTAGGGAGTGCAAAAGCAATGGAAAAGTCCCCAAAAGGGTGAGCAGCTGTAGGTGCCAGGCCTCCTTACCATAAGGCAAGTTCCAAAACGGAGTCTGCTCTCCAGATAAATAACTAGGTATGTGTCCGTCTGCACTGCAGTTGTCTTACTGAAATCAATGACCTTCATAAAGGCATACCTTCCACTGTATCATGTCAACATACAGATTTGTGCCAACATCTATAGATTTTAGAAGACTGTTTTGCTCATGATGTAAGTGGGATGGTTTCCTTTTTGCAAAACATCAAAACAGATGCACCAGGGATGAAACAAATACAATATAGCATGGTTAACTGGATTTTTAGGTGAGTGGCACAGACATTTTAAACATCAGGGCTTCTCAGATTAAGGCAGGCAAAGCAGTAGTTTTGCTCTCCTGTTGGAATCAGGAGAATTAAACAACAGTGGTCCAGCAGATAGTGGAGGCCCAAAGAAATTTGAGGACATTGAAAAGCCATTGAAAAATGGGTGGTTTCATTGGTATTGTAGGTCCTCAGTCAAAACAATGAACACCTAGTGTACACAAACACACAGGTGTTGCATGCAAGTTTTTCCTTCACCTCTTCAACTGTTTTATGCTGATGGAACCCAATCCAGAAAGGGACTGAGGTGCAAAAGCTTTCATATGCATTCCTTTTGCATTAGAGAACTGTCCTTCCCCCAAATTTTGGGAACAGGAGAGGATTAGAATTCAGTGAGTGTAGCAAGAATGTATATTCATTTAAGTATGGAATGTTCTAAGCTGATGGTGAGGTGGTGGTGGAATGGAGTGCTGGGAACCACACACACACACACACACACAGAGAGAGAGAGAGAGAGAGAGAGAGAGAGAGAGAAATATGCACATACACAATCCAGGCAACATACACCAGGCAATAAACACTTTTCAGCCCCTGCTATAACCTGCTAGCACCAGTTTGCATAAACTAGAACTTCCTTCCTAACTTGAAAAGTCTGTGATTGAGCTGCCTCAGCATATGCTTTGCACAATAATTATTACTTGTCCCTCAGTGTCCCCTGCATACCTGATCATCCATTGTATTAACTCCCTCAGCTCCCAATGCTTCTATAGCCTGGTTGATCAAGTCAGTCCTTCCGCAGTTCAGCATTCGAAAGCCCAGGTCTTGCTGGAATTTTTCAGTGGCAGCCTTCGCATCCATTCTCCGGAAAGAACTGAAGCAGCACTCAGGCCTGTTAATGAAAAGTACATTTAAAGAGGGCCACATTATCCTCAGCCTCGTTGCCACCGCCACCACAATTACACCTTTGTTACCGTATTTCAGTTTTACCACCAATCTCACATTAGGGAAGATCTAGATGTTATCAGAGGCACAGAGCTGCTGCTACTGCTGCTATAAAGAAAACCACGAACAAAACAAAGCAAACAGAGAGCTACAGCTTCTCTGTGTCATCCCTGTCTCATCCTCCCCATGGCTATTCTGAAACCTAGTCTAGACAGCGAAATTGCAGAGAGCTGGTGTGGTGGAATGGACCGCCCTGATTCAGACTGCAACATTCTCCTCCTTACAACCAGGAACCTAACACCGCAGAGAACAGGTTAAGCAAGAACCACTTTTTCAAAACAGCTCCATGAAATATTTGCAGGGAGCATCCCAAAATGGCATCAATTACTTGTGATCCAAAGAGGCAGGATCCAATCTGCCACCTAAAAGTACAGCCACCCCATTTTGCTACATGCACAGAATGGATGTTAACATAGTATAACACTTTTTAAAATTATTAATGGTTTTGCATGTATGGGCAAGCACATTCATTTGACACATGGGATCTGATTCAGAAACTACCTTCTGCTCACAGAGGGATCCCTTCAGTATACTAAGGCTTTGACGAAAGAAAGTGCCTCTGATCAACTTTGGAGAGAGAGAGGTTGTCTGTTTTTCTTAAAAGCTTCTGAGCCAATTACAACAGGGAAAAACCACAACCAATCAAGTAGATTTTGAAGAAAAACACTCACAGTTTAACTGTCAGGGTTTAGCAAATGTCTGGAAGGCAAGGCAGTCAGATGAGGTTGGGTCTAAAAAGAGGCTTAGTTAATAAAGAAACCAGGGAGGGCTTAGATGTAGGTATAGCCAGATAGACCAGTTAAGCTCTCACCTGAAAGACATTTGGTGAGACAAAGCTAACGTTTGCATTTTATTCAGGTCAGTACAGTGTTGCATAGAGCTGCCTGCACAATGACAATGATGTCACCATCAAATTGCCACTGGTTAAAGATCTTCCTTTTTGATTTTGGATTGCTCATGACTTTGTGTCATTGCTTGTGAATCATTTGCATCCCGAAAATGAAAACAGAAGCCTTTAATTGGCAGCAATCTGCCACTAATTATGATGTCATTCCCATAGAGCAGGTGGAAGTAAGTAAGAAACTGGCCTAATTCTGAAGAAGGTCCTGAAAGTTGCTGTGCTTTTGAGAGTGTTTATGGAAGCATGTAGCTTTTCTGGAAGGCCCTGCCTTTTTAGTGAGCAGCTAGCTAGCTGAAATCCAATGCGGAGTTCACACTGATTGGCTGAATCAGCAAACGTATTACGTACAAAATGCGGCCTGTGCTTTTAACAGAATAGCCACCAAAGTCATCCCTCATTCAGAGCTTTAAGAATAACTACAATTACACTTCTCCATTCTGCCTCGTGTGCATTCTGCTTCATACACTTCAGTCAGCACACAAGTCATTCAAATAATTCCTATAAATATCAAATGCCATTAGCTTTGGCTTTAGTCTTATGCTACCAACAATGTAAAATACTGTTATTTATCACAGTAAGCCCAGGGAGTATAGAAAGCTTGATGACACTTGGTCTCAATCATTCTGTCAACTACTGTTCTTCAGTAAGAGTCATACCTCTTTCCTCTGCACCTGTTTTTGATTTATTGCACATTTTCCTTTCTCTTCCTGACTGCATCAGAAAATGTAAATCTGCCTGGCCTTTAGGGGAAGTGGTATAGATGACTGCTGTTGAGATGAGGGGATTTAGTGAGCACAGCTTAAAATTCTAATCTTTCTGCAGAATTTAAGGGTCCCCTCCCCCTTGTAGTGCACTGTTAAACTTCCTTTGGGAGACTGGTGTTCAACGGGGCAAATTGTGAGAAAGAAATCTTGTGACAAATCATTTAACTAAATCCTTAAGGGAAATGGTAATATTTCCTTGCAGAGTATTTCATCTGGCAATCTTAAAGTTCAGTAAAACCACAATTAATCTTCATGGCACCTTTCTGCTTGTGATGAATACTAAACCTTTTACTAGCTTTACAAACTCAACCATTTGAGGTTGCTTAAATGATTTATCAAAGTGCATGCAGGGATTCAAGAGCAGTCTCTGACTTCAAATTATCAGATCAATTTCATCATTCGCACATAAGATATAGTTCTACTACTTAATTCTGCAAAGCGAACTGTAACAAATTAATCTCACCATCAAAACATCTACTTTCAAATATTTATATTTCTCAGTGACTATGTAAACATCTTCTCCCAGTCGTATAATGCCACAACAGCTTATCAAGAGAGACTAAAACACAGTTGACAGTACTGTAGTATGTTTATGGTCTGTATGCATGCTCTATACAGCATGTGCGTGATCGTTGTATAAGAAAAATTATAATAAATAATATTTATTTTTATTTATTAATTTATTATTAGACTTTTACCCCGCCCCTCTAGACAACGTCTACTCGGGGTGGCTACATCTACTCGGGGCGGCTAATCTTCTTGTGCCCTTAAGTCAATTCTGACTTATGATGACCCTTTTTAGAGTTTTCCACGTAGAGACTACTCTGAAGTTATTTACCATTCCCTTCCTCTGGGGGCACCCCGCGGACTTTGCAGCTTGACCAAGACCAAACAGGTTGGCTTTACTCACAGGAGGCACAGTGGGGAATTGAACTCCCAGCCTCTGGATCCACAACCAGATACCGAAACCACTGAGCTATCCAGCCAATGGAGAAAATTTATACATAGCCTGAATTCAATTTTCTCTATTTTCTCTGAGTAGGTTTTTGCCATGTTTTTTATATCCCTTGTCAACAAAAGAGGACCTTGATGTTCAGTCACTAACACACATGAAAACAGTGTATTCCAGAGATGCTTCTGACACAAGATGACCTTTGCAACCCTGAAAAAATCATTTATGTGAAGATTGCCACATACTTTAGCTGGCGAGGCTCACAGTCCAACCCAGGTAAGAGCAGCCTGGCTGTCTGCCTTATATCATCGCTGTCCACTGTTAAACTGCGCCGGTGCTCAGCATACGTTATAGCTACGCGCATCCATTCCATCAATGGGGGAAGCAGCATGAAGGGCCTATGGAGAGAAAAAAGAGACCCATTATACCTCATATTAGCACTCTCTGCTCCAAAGCGTCTCATCTTATTTACTTCTAAATTTCTCCATGAAACCTAAATTCCAAACCTGAAAACAAGATTTTTGGTTCCAAACCTGAGAATAAGATTTATTTATTTTTACATCAGCATGGCTTGGTTTGTTTAGGACTAAAATGGCTGCCTCTCGACATTCTGTAAACAAGAGATGTAATGGATTGCTTGTCACCCTGGAAAGTCCCTCACATCTTCATGTGAGGAGTGCACAGGTCTGAAGAAGAGCCTGTAATGCTGAATACATTTAAAGAGCTCCTATTCAGGCATCACTAAAACCAGTCTTGTCAACATACACTTGGAGGAGAGCACCTGCCCTCTCCCCTTCCATCAATCTGTTCTTCCTGCTGTCAGTGCCAAGTCTGAGGAAGACATGTAGGCTCCACATGTGAACAAGAACCCAGATTTTCCAGTGTTAAGAATGTGACAATGGAAGGGGTGGAATTAGGCAATCTCCTCTACACGGGTTTACCATGTTGGCTTTAGTAATGCCTGAATAGTGCTATCAGGCTTCCTGACCATGTGAGGTTCGCAAGAGCATTCAGCTGAAAGGTTCTGCATCAGATTTTCACATTCCTCCTGAGAGGATCTGAGTGACTTCCAGGTGGGAAGGGTACACAGGCAGAGAGACATACATGCATTTCCTCATCTTCATCACCGTTCTAGCCTTCTCAACATTTCCAGGTACAACATGTCAGTAGGGCTAGGAAACATCTGGTTTTTTTTTAAAAAAATAATCATCACTTCTACAGATACACCACGACTTGCTAGAAAAATATTTCACATAGCAAATCCATTATATTCAATGCGTAGTTTGATATCATGCTCCATGGAACTGAGGTTTTTGTGAGTTTGGGTTGTGAGTGCCTGCTCAAAACTTTGCAATAGTCGTGAGGTCAGCAGCTGGCTTTGTCATTGCTGTTCTTTCTTTTCTATTACAGAATGGCCTCTAAACTATAAAGACCAGCACTCATCTGTTTAGTTCCAGCACAAAACAGAAACTGCCCTTGCTGATAGGCTTACAAATTCCAAGTACTGTATTGTATATATTTAAAACTCAGAGGTGCATATATACAAATGCCTTTGCAAATCCTATTGATTTTGTTTCACACTACCAAAGTACACTTTCCTATTGAACAATTGGACTGTGGGGTTAAGAGGATAGACTTATTCTGTTCCTTTAAAGTTCAAATGGATGTGGGATGAAATGCGATAGAGGGATATAAAAAAGATTTGGATATTAAGAAGAGTGGCTGATATCATGAAAGGCCTTTTCACACTAATGCAGTGAAAGGACGAATGAAGACCTGAAGAGACAAATCCTGTTAAAAATCATTACGAATAATAAGATTTGTGACAGGAACTCCTTTTTTTTCAGACTTTTCATATGTACGCTTTCAACTCAACTCATCAAAAGTGTAACATCTGTTTTCATTTTACCACAAGACAAGAACTGTGTGTTTTCCACCACCTCAGTCTACAAAAAGCAAAGTACACTATTTCATCCATGTCCATTTTCCCTACTGTATTCTGCTATCTTGCTAGCTCTTCCAATTCCCCAAGGAATGTATCCACAGAGAGCAATCTCAACCATTTTGTCCAACATGTGACCACAGCATGTGAAATCAAAATAAAATCTACATTCTTATTTTTATTACTCTACAAGGACTTAGTGTGTGACACAGAGAAACACTGACAGGAACACACACTCTACTTTGCATGAACTGTAGGTACATTGGTTTGTGGAAACCATCAACAGTCTTCGCAGTAATTTATCAACAACTTTAATAGAAAGTATCTTCTCTTTCAGCCAACAAAAATGGTATCTCACAAAATACTTAATGGCTCTGCATGTAACTTGAGAGGTGAGCATGCTGGAAAAATCTACACTGTTTATTTACTTATTTATACACTTTCTACCACATGTTTCTTCTGGTAAAGGGAACCAAGGTGCCCTACAAGGATTTACAAATACAAATACATAATAATTGAAAAGAAAATACACTCCACTACTACTTCATCATAGAATTCCTCTTCAAAGAAGTCTGTCGTCCTTTGATCTCTTCTATATAGGTCTTCAGTATACAGTTTCCACTTTCTCTTTATTTTCTGCAGTTCTAAAAAGTAAAGTGAAACCTGCTCTATAAGCACTAGGAAGAAATAAATCACTGGGAATAGATAGAATACTGATAGAACTATTTCAAGCTACAGAGATGGAGTCTGTCAAAATCCGAACAAGAATACGCCAACAAATATGGAAAACAAAACCATGGTCTGCAGACTGACCATGTTAAATGTACATTCCAATGCCCAAGAAAGAATATGCCATTGAGTGCAGTAACTATAGGACCACTACAGAATTATGCTCAGAGTGTTACAACAAAGGCTTTTACCTTATGTAGAGCAAGAAATGCCTGAAATTCATTCTGAAAAAGAAAATGCATGATACCAGGGAAGGATGTTCCAGAGAGCACCTGGCTCCTAAGTCACACAAGTATCATAAGTATCAAGTACCACATGAAAAGATTACAGAAGGCAGCATGTCTGAAATCATCTTTCAAAGGTAATTGAGTACACACACCATGATCACCACCAGCTACAGTTAAGCAGCTAAGTTCCTGCTAACTTCTAAATCCTTTCCTGATTCAGCTGAAAATGGAGGATGCTAGTAACTTTAAAAAAGCCTTCGAGAATACAATTTAAAAACAGCCTGGACAAGCTTTTTTTTTTTTTTTTTGGGATGGACACCCCCAGAAACCCCAGCTTACGGATTCTGGACACTGTGACTTACTTTTCTAAACCCTACTCAAAATCTACAGTATATCTGATTTCAAAAAGAGCTGTTGCAAGCTCCTTCTTTGCCATGGGCATAGATCTGACAACGAATCTTTTAAGAGAGAAAGTTATTGGTCAGCATTAACTATGAGAAATTGGTGAGCCTGGCCCCTTAGTTCCTTTGCAGTCAACAGCAGAAGCTACTCAGTTAACTGCAAAGTTGGTGGTGACAGAACTGACACCAAAAGTAACACTTACTGGGTGGAAATTACAACGCTGTAAAAGCCTTCACATGCCTGAATTGCAAACAGAGGCCAGGAAGAACCTGCAGTATCTGAATATGAAGCATTTGAAGGGTGGGACATATTGACATGAATGAGGTAAATCTCACACTCTGAGAAAAGTTTGTTCACTCTCCAAATAAACAGAAAATACGTTGTAAAAGCTTTTTCTGTTTTCAGTCTACGTGGCCCCACGTAGAACCACAGCTGGGGCAAGTTGCTTAAATCCACAACAGTTGCTTGAAAGCCTCAGTAGTCCCATAAACATCAAAGGTCAGCTTCTGGTACAATCAATTTCATTCCTAATGGAAGCATTATAAACATCCTTGTAAGTGCTAAAAAAGATGGTGTTAGAAAAAGAGAGAGGGAACTTAGGAAGTGCTCAAAAAATTGATTCTGTAATAAGAGCGTTTGCAACAGTGATATATTTCCAACGTGGCACTGCATTACTTGCTTTGCTGTTTTCTTTAAAACTTTTAATATGACAAACAGTCATATTTTAAATCTGAGTCTGGATAAATGGTTATACATATATCCATTGTTTATAAAACAAAAATTAATGAAAACAGGTCTGGGCATGAGGTACTGTTTGAAGCACGGCAGAAAGCTGTGAACCTAGTTTAACCACAGACATTAGCAAAGAGACAGGGGGAAAAAGAACATGTATTATGCAGGTAATGACAGCTCTAAGGTGTCCCTTCCACATCTCAGAAAATCTTCAGCTTCTCAATAAGTGCACCACCCCCTGTTCTGCTCCCAAAGGCATGCATTAAAGAAGGAAAGGAAGTTACTTCTTACTGCTTTGTGCTGGAGAAGCATGCCCTTACATGCAGTAATCTTATATTGAGTTTGATTCAGAAAGTGTTACACATCCTTAAAATGTCTCGGAGAATACCATTCCACATTTTCTTGCAGCAGCCACCCCACATGCTTGCTGCAACAGCAGCCAGGTTTCAGTATCAAGGTCATCACTCGTCCTGACCCCTCTTCATTAAACTCTTGTATCTATAAAATATTCACTCGAATATGGAGGAGTTCCAGCTCTTGCTAATTGAGAGAACTTAATTATCTTCACTTATAAATATCTGCATTAATTTTTCAACATATCGAAGTGTGTGTTATGTTTAAAACAGACTGTTTGCAGAGACTTTGAATACATCCAATACGTTCAGCATACTAGGCATCTCAGTATTCTGGCAATCCTCTTGGTCTTTCTTCTTTCTTTAATGTTGCTATTGTGGAACTTACATTTCAATTCTTTTTATTGTTTTAGTTGGTTGCATGTTTTGCCTAATTATGTAAACCACCCCAGGCAGTGTTCCCAATAAATAGGGTGGTCTATAAGAATTATAAACCAACCAACCAACCAACCAACAAATAAATTTTATTATATCTCTGAATCCACTCCTACAACCTTTTCTTTCCAGAACTTGGACTGTCACAATCATCTATGACGTAAGTTATGGTGTTCCTCCATGTTAAAGGAATTGAGAATCAAATGTTAAAATTAATCTGCTGATCATATTAAACTGATAAAGTTTTGCAATGGGATATGGTTACTATTATCATATGCTTCTCACAGAATAAGCAACTGATTCAGTGGGTCTGCTTTAGTTGGGACTAAAAATTGGATTTAGGCCAAAGTCTCCTAGAAAGGCCAACATGCTTTAGTTGGGACTAAAAATTGGATTTAGGCCAAAGTCTCCTACAAAGGCCAACACAGAATATATGTGCTCTTAAATCAAGAGTTAGAAAAAAAGTGTTTTTGAACTGCAGCCAAACAGGGGGGTGGAAAGTCTGTGTGTCTTATGGAGCGAAGAAAACAGATTATATTTTCCTGTTTTCTTCTCCTAAAAAATTGGTGCGTCTTATG